TCTATACTTGTCGGTGACTTCAGGTTTTCGTAAAGCCTTCATTAACTGATTCTGAGTCATGGATAAGTTAGGGACATAGCAAGTTTTTTAGTCAGGCTCTAAGAATTTTCCATTTCCCAATGATTACGGGCTTGAGAAACTCACTGATCGCTATGGTTGCAGACTTCAAGGTAGTTTGATGATCCGGTAAATGCTTTATGCCTGTTTTTTTATTGTAGTGGATGGTGTATACTGCTATATACGATCCGTGCTGGCTTTAATACACACGAAGAAGTGTTTTCCATAGTCTAACTTAAAGTTAATAGGGGAGAGACTTCCTTTAATGCACATTATTGCTTTATTCTGATAATTAGTCTTTGTATCGCGTAAAAGGGTACCTTACAAATGAATTGTTGGTGCAGAAAAGAATGTTTCCATTATGTTGTCTTGCCTTAAACCTCGAAAGTGATTTTAAAAAGGATTCTTCTATTCCTTATAAGTAGTTTTGTAAACAGCCTAATTGTTTTTTCCAGCTGTCTAGAGATCTGTACATTAGCGATATTTACCTAACCCGACCATTTCTCGAGTGGGAGATATTTTTCCAAACCGTGTTAAATCAAAACCGTGTAATAACAGAATTAGGTGTACTACAATTATTACTTGTACTTTATAGATTTGAAATTGTTTCGTCCACGAATCTATTCCGTTCATTCCATGATTAATTAAATATAATAGCAACTGCAATTAGCATTGTCTACCGCTCAACTATCGGTATAATTTATCACTGTTTTTCGTTATCACCAGAAGTAAAGTCCGCCTCCCACGGGTGCGACGACGCCACTGAACCAGTTAATAAAATGCCAGCCGAAAGATAAGTTAACCAGCAGACCCGATGTTGTTTTTTTTTCCATTTATTTATTTTGCAGCTTTTGCCAATATGGACTGCATACAATTATCTTATCGAACAAACAACATTTTATGTTTAAAGTGGCGGATTTTTATGGCTGACCCTAGGTGAGGGTCGGGGTCATCATACATTTTTAAATGAAAAATCAAACAGACTTAGCGATGTACAGCAGTTCATTTTTTTGTTTCTGGTTATTTAATTAACCTACGAATAACCATGACTGAAATTATTATATAGTATTTGGGTAATAAAGGCAATAGCTGCAATGAAATGGGTTATTACTGACATTCCCATATTATAGGCAGACAATGGGCCAGGTGGGACCGTTGGTCGATGATGGAATGATGGTTGGGGTCGAGCATGTGGCCATGATTGCGATAAATTATTGTTCAAAGCTGGCGCCGGAACATGCGTTGCGTTTCACACCAAAAACGTGGGCAAAAAAAAAAAAAAAGAAAACAGAATAAAGAGGGGCGTATTGGGTAGTATAATGGCCTCTGGCCCACATTTACCTTACTCAGTCCACACACGCAGAAACATTCAATACAAATACAATATATGTATGTATGTGCATATACGTAGTATACATTTATGGCTAAATGCAAAATCATGGAACTCGTCGCCATTGTTAAAGGTTCCCCGGTCTGTGGGGTCAGATCAATGCCAGTGTCAGGCGAACGTGCTCCACACGATTCAGTTCAGTTTGTTGAATTCGCACGGTAAGCGAACGGGGAAAACTTTGTCGAGGGAACAAAAAGAGTTTCCACCGATAACGGCAATAAAAAGAAAAGTTATTAAAACTTTAAACTGTAAATGAAATCGCAGAGATAGAAAAAAGGTTAAGGGTCGACAGCAAACAATTCCCCTTGGGGTTGATTCGATACGAACACGTTCGCTTTCTAATAGACACAGTATAGGAACTTGGAACAACCTGTCACAGTTTTGAAGAACCGATTCCAAGTAGACGCCCCGACTAGCCTACTGCAATAAAATTGTTCGTGAGCGTAGTATTTTATTTTTTGGCCAAAACATCCAAAATGTAATGTCTAAATTGTTCGGTTATTGCAGTTTTTGTTTCGAAATCCATGGGCAATGTACGTACCAATAATATAATTCTTAGAAAGCCAGCGGGCAAAGTCTTTGTTGCTATCACAATCGTTTTTATACCCTGTACCCGTAGGGTTTGTGCAAAGCATGTAACATGCCGAAGCGTCTCCGACCCCATAAAGTATATATATTCTGAATCAGCATGACGAGAGAAATCGATCTAGACATGTCCGTCCGTCCGTCCGTCCGTCCGTCCGTCCGTCCGTCCGTCCGTCCGTCCGTCCGTCCGTCCGTCTGTCCGTCTGGATGAACGCAAGGATCTCAGAAACTATAAAAGCTAGAATAACCAAAGTTGGCATCCAGATCAATATCGTCAATATCGTCCACATTTCAAATGCTACCTAAATCAAACTTTGCACACATAATTTATATATAATTATCTACTGCTGTTTAAAATTCAATTCGGTCAATTCTAAGAAAAGTTATTAGCGAAACAAATTCTCTCCAGTGCAACCCCCCAAACTGCAGCAACAAGTTCGCTCTTCTTCTTCCTCTTTTTGCTTCTGCTATGGGCGCATATACCTCAGTGTCGGAAGTTTACCTGGGTACAGGGTATTTCACTGTCGGGCTTGCTCGACTGTAACGTTCTCTCTTGTTGGGATTAGTCATTAAATCCAACTAATATATATATGTATATATAGCATATCAGCTATATATATGTATTTTCTTTGTTCGACAATTTCTCGAGTGCGAACCATGCCAACGCTAGCAATCTGAGCTGAAGGCTTGATAATTCCCATGAGTAATGCCTAGGATTTGCAAAAATTGTAAAAATATATTTTGAAATTCTATTTAAAGGAATTGCAAGCACTTGTTGAATTCAGTTGATATCGAATAGTGGAGCCATTATATTTTAATTTGTCGAGCGAGCAGCACAAGAATTTAGAAGGGTATGGATGCTATATATGTATGTATGTATATATGTGCTGTGAATCGGGGCATAGCTGACCGTTTGGCAAATAAAATTCCCCCCACCGAGTCGGGCTTTGTTTTTCTTTAGTTTTATCTAGTACAAGTTCTGTACTGTTTTGATATTTCTTTTTCCTTAATTCGACAGCTCTGTTTGTCGATAAAATAAAATATATAGGGATATCCGAACTAACTCTTTAGATATTAGAATTACGCTCGCTCCTTCTAAAAGAGTTGTTTATGTTTTTGCTTAGAGCTTATTGCATAGGAATGATCAGGTCAACTATGTTTTTTAAGTTATCTCATCCAAAGGGGGGCTTAATTAAAAGTTTACAACATATGGCCCAAATCGAACCACTATGCGATAGGAGAGATCGGCCGATTTGGCAATAACTTTATCATTTTTTAAACTATCTTAAGTAACTTCGATTCAGGGTGGTTTCATATAACGTTACGATATAACGTTGAGTTTTAACCAAATTGAACCAAATAGCTGCCATAGATTGGCCGATTTTGCTATAACTTCTTTGTTTTTTAAGCTATCTTTAGCAACTTTGATAAAGTTTTTATATTATGTTACAGTATATAGTAGAATATGAACCAAATCAGACCACTATATGCTATAGCTGCTATAGAAACGATTGGCCGATTTTGGTATAACTTCTTTGTTTTTCAAGCTATCGAAGCCATATTCGGTACAGGATGGTTTTAAATAATATCACAGCATATAGTAGAATATGAACCAATTCAGACCAGTATAACCTATAGCTGCTATAGAAACAATCGGCCCATTTGGCAATAACTGTTTTGTTTTTTAAACTATCTTAACAAAATTCGATACAGGGTGGTTTCATATAACGTTATATCGTATACTTGGATTTTAACCAAATTGAACCTCCATATCCTATAGTTACCATAGAAACGATTGCCCGATTTTGCTATAACTTCTTTGTTTTTTAAGCTATCTCTATCAACTTTAATAGAGAAAGTTTTTATATTATGTTACAGCATATAGTAGAATATGAACCAAATCAGACCACTATAACCTATAGCTGCTATAGAAACGATTGGCCGATTTTGGTATAACTTCTTTGTTTTTCAAGCTATCGAAGCCATATTCGATACAGGGTGGTTTTAAATAATATCACAGCATATAGTAGAATATGAACCAAATCAGACCACTATAACCTATAGCTGCTATAGAAACGATTGGCCGATTTTGGTATAACTTCTTTGTTTTTCAAGCTATCGAAGCCATATTCGATACAGGGTGGTTTTAAATAATATCACAGCATATAGTAGAATATGAACCAAATCAGACCACTATATCCGATAGCTACCATAGGAACAATCCGCCAATTTGGCAATAACTGTTTTGTTTTTTAAACTATCTTAACAAAATTCGATACAGGGTGGTTTCATATAACGTTATATCGTATACTTGGATTTTAACCAAATTGAACCTCCATATCCTATAGTTACCATAGAAACGATTGCCCGATTTTGCTATAACTTCTTTGTTTTTCAATTCGATTCAGGGTGGTTTGAAATAATATTACTGCATATAGTAGAATATGAACCAAATCAGACCACTATATCCTATAGCTGCTATAGAAACGATCGGCCAATTTTGCAATAACTTTTTCGTTTCCACAGCTATCTGAACCAAATTGAATATGTGTATTTTGTATTCATTTGCGATCGGTTTCGTGCCCCATTCTGTGACCTTTTGTGGAACACTTATTGCCTTGCATTTTTAAAACGCGTGCATAAATGTGTGACATATATAGTACATATATGCATGTATCAATGGAAAATAGAAATCTGTCTCAGTTTCCAAGTTGTTGACGCTGTCCAGGCACTGTCATTGTGGCATTGGATGGGTTCGATTTGTGTCGAGCTTAGCTTCACTAGACATACTTATGAATACATAAACATGCCCGTACCATACTTATTTGCATGGGCAATGCGTATGGGAAACAAGTTTGAGAGACATGACACGGCATTTCCGTCCACATGCAAAACTCGGGATGTAAATCATGGACTGATGGTAATGCCTTTTACCCACATATGTAATGAGTTCTTGTACGCTTTACAGATGCCTGGACTTGTGGTCTTTAGACGTCGCTGGTCTGTGGGCTCTGATGATCTGGTAGTGCCGGGGGCATTTCTGCTCACAATACATTTTATATGGTAAGTCGGTAAGATTGAGGAGTGGAAAAGTACAGCGACATTGTCGCATTTTCTCACCATCTTTCCATTGCAGTTTTGTGCTTGTTGCCGTCTCGTTGGTGTTGTTCGAGTATGACACGAGTATTTTAAGCATTAAACTACTATTTTATCATCTGATAGGCTACTTGCTAATATTATTTTGTGAGTACGCTGATGAGCAGAGTTGGCAGCAACTACTTCGAAGAACTCACTCACTCAAGTATTGTCTTCATTACAGTTTCAATATGCGTAGAAATTGGCATTTGTGTGATTTCGATGCGCGGCAGCATATTGGATGCAGAGGCGCGCACATCGATAAATATATGGATATATCTCAAGAGCTGTAAGTATGAGTGATCGTTGTTTCTTGTAGGACCCATTAAGAATTTCTCTTCTACACAGTGGTGATATTATTTGATATTACATGGCTGGTACTGGGCTCCATATGGCTGACACATTACTATATCGAGGCGCCCATAGCCGAGGCCAAACGTGTCTACATAGGTGAGTCATTTGGTTCGGTTCGAGGGGCTGCCTTCCTTCCCATTCTTTGAAAGCCTGTCTAATTGAAAATAAACACCTCTTCTCAGCCATTATATTGTGCAATTGGGCGCTAGTTTTCATTACGCTGGTCACTATCTGGTGCACATTCGATGCGGCCGGTCGAAGTTGGGTCAAGATGAAGAAATATCAGCGTTCTATGCGTGAGACTGAGTCGCGTTTCAATTACAAGCGCAGCAACAGCATGAATCGCAACTGGCGGCAACGGTACGTATCACACACACAATCATCCAATCCATCAATGACTTCATAAAAACTGCTATCCCTTCTACGTGCTTTCCATTCCGCAATATAGGAAAGTGATGCGTGCGTATCAGGACAGCTGGGATCATCGCTGTCGGCTGCTTTTCTGCTGCATGGGCTCCTCGGAGCGAAATCGTAACTCATTCACAGACATTGCTCGACTGCTGAGCGACTTTTTTCGGGAGCTGGACGTGGTGCCCTCAGATGTAGTCGCCGGCTTGGTGTTGCTGCGAAAGTTTCAGAGATTGGAGCGCGAGGCTATTGTGCGACAGCGCAAGAACGGCACCTACGAGTTCCTCAGCGGCGTCCCCATTACGGAGCGCACTCAGTTCCTAGCACTCAACGATGCCAAAAACCATGACTTCTTCCAAACGGTTATTCATTACATGTACTTCGCACAGAGCGCCTATGGCTGGCCCATGTATGTTGTCATCAATCGCACCAAGATGTGGCATTTGCTGCCCGAACTTAAGTAAGTGGTCAAATGGTGTTGGGTGCACTAAATGATTTGAAAATATCCAAGAGGTTGACGGATATCGCATCCGCCTATCTGTCCGTCTGTATGAACCCCAAGATCGTTTGAACCATATCAGCTAGGGGGACCAAACATGGTACGACTTGTTGTCCTATCTATACACACAGCAAGTTTATTCCAAATCACATATAGCCTCATTAGTTTCTTCAAAATCGGTGAAATATATCGCATACTATATAGCTGCCATAGAAACGATTGGAGGGGCACTGTCGGAAAGGGGGCGAATACGAAAGGTTGTTCCAGTTTTGTCATTAAGATTGACTTTAGTGTGGACTAAGATCTCGCTAAGGTATCCTCTTACCCTGTAGTACACTTATAGAAACCCAACAGAATAACCCCATGTTGAACCTTTCCTTTTAACAGATGCTTCAGTTGCTGTTGCGTCAGTGGAGGGGACGCCGAGGTGATTGAGGATAACTGCTGTTCGTGCAACTATGCGGCACTGAAGAAAACCCTGCAGCCGGGCGACATTGAGATCGTGTATGCCACCTACCATGTGGATGTGGGCGAGACGCCCTTCTTTGTCGCTGTCGATTACAAGCAGAAGAAGATTGTGATCAGCATACGCGGCACGCTGAGCATGAAGGACATACTGACGGATCTGAATGCCGAGGGCGAGGTATTGCCGCTAACACCGCCACGGGACGATTGGCTGGGACACAAAGGCATGGTGCAGGCTGCCATCTACATTAGAAATAAGCTGCTGGAGGGGAATCTGATTGAGCGGGCACTGCAACGGAATGCGGAGCGGCAGACGCACACGTTCGGATTGGTCTTGGTGGGGCATTCACTCGGCGCTGGCACGGCCGCCATTTTGGCAATATTGCTTAAGCCAGAGCATCCAACGCTGCAATGCTTCAGCTATTCACCACCAGGCGGTCTGCTCAGGTGTGTTTCCCTTATCTTCTGTGTTCCCAGCCATGATTCTCACCTTTCTCTCCATGCAGCATGCCAGCCGTTGAGTATTCGAAGTCGTTCATCACATCGGTGGTGCTGGGCAAGGATGTGGTGCCGCGCATAGGTCTGAATCAAATGGAAGCGCTGCGTGCGGATCTCATTAATGCCATACAGCGCAGTGTTGATCCAAAGGTGAGGTTGCGCCGATAACTTTCCATCAATTCGCCTGCTAATTAATGGTCGCTCTTCTTTTTGCAGTGGAAAACCATTTCGTGTTCGGTCATCTGTTGCGGCTGCGGTCCCGAGCCAACCTCTGTGGTTAACATGTCCGGCCAGGACACGCACATAAATCAATACCAGGAGGTACGTATGTCGCACTCCGTAAATTAAACTGATGTTTGATTAATTATTGCAGGAACGTGGCACGGCTAGGTCGACCAGTACACATCCCACGGATAGCTCCATAGCTTTAACACTACACCAGCCCTTATATCCGCCCGGCCGTATCATACATATAGTGCGGCATCATCCCAAGCCCGATGAGTGAGTAAGGCGTGAACTCTGCCCTATGGATTCTTCTTCTTATTCTTATATTTCGCTTTTGTTATTATTTTTTGTTTTGGTTTTATTTTGATTGTTGATTTTTCCGACATTTGTTAATATTGTTATTAACTTTTAATGCGCTGTGAAATCCGCTTGACCCCCAAGTGCTAATTGATAGCTCCCTAGCGCTGATTGCAAATGCAACGCAAAATTATCAACGCCTTGTCAGATCATCACCAGACGTCAGTCTCATCGGCCGTCAGCTGCCAGCTCCCGGACTTTACTTTACGACCGGCCGGTCGACGCGTAATGTCCCTGACTCATGCTCGATGATGTCAGCCTCGTTTTGTTTTGTTTTGTTTTGTTTTGGTTGGCGACACGCTTTCCACAATTTTAGAAACATGCACAACATTCAAAAGTAAATTCCCAAAAATTAGTTATAGTTATTAGGGAAACCCGACTCTTCGATCCAAGCTACAGCGCTACACCTCTAAGGTTAACCATAGGCCGAGTTCTATTATGTATATATGTATGTGTTCCTAAGCTAAAAGAGCGGCTTTGAAGTCCAGACGTCCTTGCTTTCAAAAGCCTGGACTCTTTATCTTACTTTTATTCTAGCAACCTGTGGAGCTTCAGGCTTAGTAGGGATATTTCCATCAAAAACCTCTACCTACAACTTTTATAAATACATTAAAAAATGTGGGATAGCAATACTAACACCGGAGGATTCTAAATACCTTTTTCAATCGTCCTTCTGCTCTTTCTGTACATACACAAGTTTAGACGTTAAGTGGAAAGTAAAAAATGAATTCTAGCTGTTTGAACTCCAAGCAAACACGCTTTCAAAAACCGTAAAGAGACGTGTTTTACAAGTCTTAATGGTCTCTACGTGCTGCTCAAAAGTAGTATTTGTTAACATATGTCATTTGCTTATTTTTTTGATTTTTCGACTTTCGTTGACTTCCCACGACAGCAAAAGAGAGCAACAAAAAACTAGTTTTTGTATACCCTGTACCCGAAGAGTCAAACTCGGAGAGTGTATTAGGCTTGTGCAAAGAATGAACCAGCATTTTCGAGTCCATAATGTATATACGAGTATTCTTGATACAAATCGATCTAGTCTCATGTCCGTCTGGATGAACTCCTGGATTTCGGAAATGGTTGAGCCCACATTAACTAAACTTGGTATTTAGATTCTTCCAGTCTCTATGCATCGCGGTCCAGAGTTTCACACAAATAGATTCATCCTAAGGACAGTTATAATAGAATCCCCATACTATGCCCCAAAACGGGATTCACATTTTCTCTCGAAAGGGTACAGAGTATTACGCTGTCGACCTCGACTGTTACATTCTCTCTTGTTTATTATTATTGTCTATTATGTTGTTTCCCCGCTTTAACACAAACACACCCACAGACACACACTCTGTCTGTCTGACCGAGCCCCCCTCTAATCAATTTATTACATAATTTCAAAATATTGTGTGTAAATTATTATTTTCGTACTTTTTTCAGGCAAAAATACGACAGTGGTTGGAGGTAGGCCGTTAAACGAAGAAATGCAAAGAAAACGCTTGCGCGTCTAATGCAACAAATGCGACTCGTTCTTGTCTCTCTTTCTCTCTTGCTCTCTCTTTTTTGTGTGTTAGAAGTAGTGGAATTTTTTGCTTTCTAAAATTTGTACAGCTTTGTTGCTGCAAGAGACTTACTCTTTCCTGCATGAGACGACGCATGTTTTGTTTGGGGCTCTCAAATGGCCTACTTGTATAGTTGGAATATCAATTATTCTCTTCTCTTCCTCTCTCACCCTCACTCTCTCTCTCTCTCTCTCTCTCTTCCTCCCGTTCTGCGTTCTACGTTGACACTCACTACTCTATCCATAATAGCGAGTAATTAAGTCGATATTTATTTTTATTAGTTCCGAATAGACCTGACTGCATGCGAAACCTCCCTTCCCAAACAAATACCAAAAATTTAATTACCGAACCATAAAACCCCTCAGATTGCGTCCCCATCAGAAATACGAAACTAAATACATATGCATATTGAAATGTTTCTAGTTTTGAACTCGTTATGTAGCGTAAATGAAATTCGTAGTTAACGCCTGCTTTCACCCTCCTATGCCCCGATTTGCAAGTACATACGTACATACGTACGTACATATACATACATACATATATTATATAAGTAGTACACTATATTCTGATTTTATATTATTAGTTTGTAATGTGCCTGAGACAATCTGTGATCTATTTAGAAACAACTACTGTCTACTGTCTTACAGAAATGTGCTTAAGAGTCGGGAGCCTGTCTATCAGGCAATATGGGCCGATTCCACCGACTTCGATGAGGTGCTAATATCGCCTGTCATGCTGCAGGATCACATGCCCGATAAGGTTTTGGCGGCACTCCAGAAGGTAATTTTAGAGTTTGACGATGAACGCACCTCAGTGAATAGTTGCTCCACAGCCAGTTGAGGTTCCAAATGATAATTGCGGATCATGATGACAACTTGACACCCAATATCGATGTTGATGTTGTCTATAAGCATAATGATGTCGATTCGATGTCTTAGATTAGAGTAGATGGCTTAGCTTAGCTTAGCTTAGCTAGCATATCGTATTGTATTGTATATCTGATAAGTGAATGCATTACTTGTAGTGCCTAGACTTAAGGCGTCGAGCGGGCGCGCACACACACAAACAAAGAAACAAACACACATATATGTATATATTATATATATATGGACACCACACCACACAACCAGTCACCCAGCACGCTTGCCAAGGTCAGCTTCTAAAGATGCAGAGAACCGGCCCAGACCAACTGTTCCCGAAACATCTCGTACCACTGCGCTCGCTACTTAGTCTCCCGCCAGTAGTCTCTTACTGTTCCTGTTCATAATGTTTGTTGCCTAGTATGTAGGATTGTTGATATTTTTCAGGAAAATCTTTAAGAAAATTGTAAACTCCAAGAAGACCCGAGGGTCGTTAAAAAAAGAAGCAGAGAAAGTGGTGTAAAATGAATAAACACTTATAAGGTAACTATCTAGCCCATTGAGGGCAGGAGTTTCTCAAATCTAAACTTATACTAAGTGAGCATTATGCTATATTATATTTCCTCTCATAGTAGAGGATTTTTTTTTTTTTGAAATGTTCTGATTTTTGTACTATTTGATAGTTTTAAGTGATAGAAACATACGTATGTATCTCTTGAATGAACAAAGTAATGCCAGCTTGTGCAGATGTTATTCATTCTGCGCCACTCTCTCCCTCTCTCTCTCTCTTTCTCTCTATCGGTCTGTCTCTGTAACGATCGAGTCAGATATTAAGTTATATGACAGATATAAAGTCAACAATCCTATTACAACTACAAGTATATCTCACTAGCTGATTAGCTGATTAGCTTGCAGTCTCGACCAGAAGACAACCCCCGACCTCTAGCATATAGTACCAATACATACTTACATGCATATACACATACATGCATATACACTCTGTGTGTATGTGCATCGATAAGTTGTCTATAAATATGAATAATTAGTCGTTAACTAATCTGTACACTCTCGCTTATGTTTATTCGCATATTTATTTATGATAGAGCTTAAATTGATTTTGTACGTACACCTTCTCCCAGCAGACACACACACACACACGCACACACATACACACGATTATATAGGCACTTGATCCAATTACCGCTGACACCTACCAGTCATGCGCTTGTGTGCGTGTGCGTGTGTGTGTTGGCCTTGAATTTGTATTTATTAATGTCTTGGTTCTAATGAATTCTCGTATTTATGCTTTATTTGACTAGAATGGTTTATGCAACCATTACATAGGCTCTTAAGTAAGTCTAATTTCGGAACTACACTCGCGCTCATAAAAAAAGCCGGGAGCAATTTTTTTTACCTACTTATTAATGCTTCTTTAATTAACGAATTAATACGCGAAAGAATAATTTCTAAAATCAATAATAGATGAAATTAAATTAGGAAACTTAATAAATACATTGAAAACTCTTTTCGCCGCACACTTACCGTCGACCATTTTTAGTCCGTCCCAGAGGTCCGTTTAAAATAATAATTTCACTTCAATTTTTGCTTATTTTAAGTGATTTGTTATTTAGGGGATTAAAATGGTAGCAGAAGCATTTCCGACCCCATAATGTTTATACTTGTATATCTTAATCAGCATGACGAGAGAAATGGATCTCGTTCGTCCGTCTGACCGTCTGTCTGGATGATCGCCTAAATTTCGGAAACGGCTGAGCGCACATTGTCCAAACTTGATAGTCCTAGTCCCTAGGCAGCACGAGTTTCTTTAATTTTTTTCCCCCTCTCCTCTGCTACAGAATTTCGTCTATACTGTCCATAATTCTATAACTATCAAACTTTTGTTTTAAATTTCTACCAAGTCGATCAATTCTTGTCGGGCTTGCTCGACTGTATTTTTACTTTGTTTTTGGGAAAAATTGATGATAGCACTACAAAATAAAATCAGGGCTTTTTATGAGCGCGCGTGTATATGTTTAAGTATGCTTTTATATTTACAATTATATAGATGTACAGTATGTACTTATATTCATTTTGCCAGACATTAAAAAGCACTTTTCGTTTTTCTTTACGATACAAAAATATGTCAAGGTATTTATTTACTCATTTTAGTTTGTGCGGTAAATAGCAAATGGTACTTCCCCTAAATGCCTTTAAAAGAACAGTTCCAGATTGTTGGATACGCCCTTGATACACTAAGTGTTTAACTGGAAATGGTAGCATTATACTTGCCTTGTTTAGTAGTTGTGAAAAGTATTGCATACACCAAGGCTGCAAACCGCCATCATATTTCATCATCATCAGCATAGGCTTTGTAGTTCGTAACTCTATAGTAATCGTGTTCTAACTTCATTTAAAATGTTTTTTCTCACAATTTAACGGACACTTCATTAATTTTAAGAGTTTCTTAAAAGTTGGTGAAAAAAAAATTTACTTTTGATTTATTTCTTCAGATAATCAGATAATTACTTGTATCTTAATAATTTTTTGAAACTACCAGAATCTACTATAGATTTCAACAAAAACAGGCTTCCCAATCAAATAATATTTTACTTAGTATTGGAATGTGATATAACAAATACCCTTTCGAACTTTGTTCAGAAATATTTTATTGCATTGTGTTTCCGGTTCCGGTTTGCAGCCTTGACTTGCTCCCTGTCCAAATCCAGCACATATAAATGTTTCCTTTTACAGTTCCGGTATCGAACTACAAATCAAGATAGACAAGACAATGATAATGAATCGACGCATACAAGTATTGTTGAGAATCAAACATAACGATTCCCAGATTCGAGTATCATATAGAGAGCTGAAAGATCATTTAGTTACCGTTTGCTACTTGAGTTTTGGTTTTTGAGTTGCAACTTCAGTTCGGTAAGTTTTATTTTCGAAATTATTATTTCTCTTCCCCAGCATAATTGACCCTCAGACAAACATACATACATATACTAAGTACTGCATGAAAGTGTTTGTTGCAATGCTTATCTTTTAATTTTCACATACCTACATACATATTGAATACATATCCCATTCTCCAAGTACTTAGAACGTGTAAGATTTTCATCTAAAGATATATGTGTACATTCAGTAGAGCGATTTAGATTTTGTGTTCCATACAAATGCTGCAGTGTGACCAGACCACATTTGAAATATACGTTCATCTAAATAGTCGAAACGATATAAACTCGTAGGCCGTCTTTGACATTTCAAATCTAGAAGTGTGCTAGATGATTCAGGACTTTAGTACCGCACCTAATTGGAGCATTGCGTGGAGAACTTTTTTTTAAGAGTGACCGTTTTACTTGCAGAAAATAATTTTGCCACTCCTTGCCTCGATTTAATTACGCAAACCATCTCTTCATCACTTTGACACATTATTTATGATAGTCTTTTATTTGTAATGTCCAGAAGCAGGTTATAGGTATAACTGATCATGCGAATTGATATATCCATGTCCGCTTGTTTGTTATATGTTAATGCCAACTAGTCTCTCATTATTACATATTTAATAATAACACCGTGTTGAAATTTTGCGGGCAGTCGCATTTCTTCTACAAGCAAATCATTGATAAAAAAAAAACCAGTAGGATTGGAATACTCGGAACGATCGACCGATGTCAAATAAACTCGTTCCGATCGGTTGAATTTTGAACAACTCTTTTGTTTACAAAGCTATCTTAACCGAATTAAATATGTGGTGGTATCATATGTTATTACAATATTTGACTAAATTTACACTTAATCGGGCAATTATATCGTATAGCTCCCATAGGAACGATCGGTCGAATTTTCAATAACTCTTTTGTTTACGTAGCTATTTTAACCAAATTAAATATGTGGTGGTTTTATATATTATTCAAATATTTGACTAAATTTGCATCAAATCGGGCAACAATATTGTATCGCTCCCATAGGAACGATCGGTCGAATTTTCAATAACTCTTTTGTTTACGTAACTATCTTAACCAAATTAAATATATGGTTGTTTTATATCATTTTAATGAATTTGGCTAAATTTGCACTTAATCGGGCAATTATATTGTATAGCTCCCATAGGAACGATCGGTCGAATTTTCAATAACTCTTTTGTTTACAAAGCTATCTTAACCGAATTAAATATGTGGTGGTTTTATATAATTTTAATGAATTTGGCTAAATTTACACTTAATCGGGCAATTATATCGTATAGCTCCCATAGGAACGATCGGTCGAATTTTCAATAACTCTTTGGTTTACGTAGCTATCTTAACCAAATTAAATATATGGTTGTTTTATATCATTTTAATGAATTTGGCTAAATTTACACTTAATCGGGCAATTATATCGTATAGCTCCCATAGGAACGATCGGTCGAATTTTCAACAACTCTTTTGTTTACGTAGCTATCTTAACCAAATTAAATATGTGGTGGTTTTATATAATTTTAATAAATTTGACTAAATTTACACACAATCGGGCAATTATATCGTATAGCTCCCATAGGAACGATCGGTCGAATTTTCAATAACTCTTTGGTTTACGTAGCTATCTTAACCAAATTAAATATGTGGTAGTTTTATATAATTTTAATGAATTTGGCTAAATTTGCATCAAGTCGGGCAACAATATCGTATAGCTCCCATAGGAAAGATCGGTCGAATTTTCAATAACTCTTTTGTTTACGTAGCTATCTTAACCAAATTAAATATGTGGTGGTTTTATATAATTTTAATAAATTTGACTAAATTTACACACAATCGGGCAATTATATCGTATAGCTCCCATAGGAACGATCGGTCGAATTTTCAATAACTCTTTGGTTTACGTAGCTATCTTAACCAAATTAAATATGTGGTAGTTTTATATAATTTTAATGAATTTGGCTAAATTTACACTTAATCGGGCAACATTATTGTATAGCTCCCATAGGAACAATTGGTCGAATTTTGAATAACTGTACAATAAGCTAAATTTGTACTGAATCAGATTATATCCCATAGCTGTCATAGGAAAAGTCAGTTGGCTTAAAAGAGTTTTGTACAAACATATTTGTTTTGTATATGGCGATACCCTAACCAAATTGGGTATTGGCAAGTGGTACAACCAAAGATGTTGCAGAGTTTGAGTTGGATGGGACTACTATATTATACAGCTGCCATAGGATCTAAATCACTTTTGCAGGGATATCATTGATACATAAAATAATATACCTAGTACATATATGTAGAATGAGAATCTTGCATGCTTTAAACAAGAGCCAAGAGTATTACTTGATAGTTGTACCCAAGACTGTTGGCTTCCATTACGCTCGTATTATAGAGAGCTTGTTGGTTCTGCCCCCATCGTCACGAGTGCTAAGCAGTGGAGGGTATTGTATGTTTAGTTTGTCTCTAAGAAAGCAATTCACGTATGGCTTCAATAAATATAATTCTTCTGTTTGTTTTCATTTTTTGTCTATTATACATATTAACCTAAATGTACGCATTTTTTTGCCGCATACATGTATGTGAATGCGTGTGTGTGTGTGTCTGTATCTGTATCTGTGAACTGTGACCTGATGGCCTCATGATGTGCAGGTCCTGTCTAGTAGAGATCGTATTCGTACCGTAAAGGCATGTAAACGTAAACGTACTCGTTGTAATGATAACTCGACAGTAACAACAACAACTACAACAACAACCAACACCACAACAAGAACTACTAGTACTACTCACAACTGTGCAACAACACAAAATACCGATACCAGGTACTACTACAGCTGCTAACTTACTTCTTAAAGACTACTACTTTCCATTTTGATCTCGATATTTGCAAAATTACAATTTACAAAAAGAAAACAAACAAATTTCGCTCTCTTTCTCTCCCTCTCTCAAAGTTATATATACGTGTATACATATATATATATAAAGCCCAACCTATGATTTTTTGTACCACTTTTGTTAAGCGCTATATACTACTCTTACCAATACTTAAGTGTCTCGCTGCACCACCACCCCAAGACCCAAAAAAAAGAACTACTAGTCTTGCATTGTTAATTGATGGATTGAAGTTACTTTGAATTTTTCAAAATTAATCCTTCTTAGCAAGCCACAAAAGGAATATTTAATACTACTAATCAACCACCAACCACCTCCATCACCACTTTGACGGCACCACAATGTTGTTTTTTTTTTTTTTGAAATGCTTTACCACCCATCCATCCATCAGGCATATCAGATCAATACTACAATCACAAACACCAGTTATCACCACTACTCGCTTTCTGAACATAACTGTACTTAAGCCATGCTCCTCACTCACTCACTCTCCCCTACTCGCTCATTTACTACTCAACTAATACTACTACTACTATTTCCTGCTGTATATAGATATACTATACCTATGTATGTACTACTATACTATCTATTACTACTATATAGTACATATTATCTATTACTACGCTTCTGCGATGCCCCAGTTTCGTGACAACTACGAGTATATTACAAATACTCGAATTGGCTGAATGCTTCATGAAGTTGGGGCTTCGCCTAAACGTAACTACTTACTTATAACTAAAAACTGTATAAATCTTGCTCTAAACATATCCTACTTATAAATCGCCAAGTAACTATGAGTGTTAATCAGTCACTAATATGCTCTACACGTTGGCTGTGTCCGACTCTTTCTCCCCTCTCTTCTTCTCTCCTCCCTATTTCTGCTCTCTCCCTCTGTCTCTCTCTATCTCTCTTTTCTTGATTCGTTAATTTGTGCTCGCCAGGTTGTAACAACGAGTGGTCCACGCAAGCCGCAACGCCAAACCTCGAATGCATTTTCCATAACATCCAATGAGTTAATTCCCGGCCAATTGGATCACGTGCAGCCGTCTAGTCTGGAACTGGACGGCGTGAACGATTTCGGCAAGGAGAGAGATCGGGAGCTGGAGCTGGAAGAGCCAGCGCAGCAGCACTGTAAGCGTCCCTCGCACAGTTCCTACTCCAATCTGAGCAACTCGATCATTCTGACGCCGACCGCTCAGCACAAACTCTGTCTGGAGACATCGTTTACGAATTTACAGAATCCCCTGGAGAGGAGCGCTCCATGTACTGTTGGCGGTGGCATTGGTGGGGGCGGGGGTGGTGGCAGCAAAGCATCCTCCATAGCTGGCAGCATTTTCGGGCGCAGCCAGCTGAGCTCAACGACGACCCCCTATGACATATCAAGCGTCCTAGACGACAGCATAACGACGACTCTGACCATGCGCAAGAGTCCCTCGATGTTGAGCGAGGCGGCAACGGTAATTGTGAATGCTCCAGAGTGCGTCGGCTCAGAGATCCAGTGCCATCAGCCACGTCTCAAGACGGTGGCCTTCGACACAACGACGGCGCCGAGCATAGGTTCGGCGTCAACTCCTTCGCGAGCGCCAGCGAAAACCTGCAACTCGAACTCCAGTTCGCCACAGCTAGCCGCCCGCTCGTTGCTTCTGGCACGGCAGCATTCCGAAAAGAAGCCGCGCTCCTTGCCAGTAACGCACGCTCTGCGGCGGTCCTCCGATGCCGCCCAGACAGTCGATCTTCTTCATGACGACTGGTATGGATTGGCCCCACTGGCTAGTCCCGAAACGCTATCGGAGATCTCCAGCGTCTCGTCTCGCACCAGTGTGCCGATTAGTTTGGCCAACAGCATCGAACGCTATCTGCATCACTTGTCGGTGCTGGGCGTGACCGAGACGCCCACAGGTGCCGCCGCCAAGGTGCCCCTCGAGGACATCTTCGAGTCGCAGCTACATACGCCCAAGGTGATGCGACGGGCGCCGAAGTTTAGTGAAAACCTGGCTGGATGCGCCGAAGATACTCGCAATCTGGATCAGTACAAGCGCATGGGTCGCGTCTTTGTCACATTTCCTCGCATCTTCCCCAACGATTCTGTGCAGGGCTTGGACTCGAGCGACGATAGCTTCGAGTCGGCCCATAGTCTGCACAAACTGCAGCCCACAAAGCTTTCGCTGGAGGAGCAACAATGCGGCTCCAAGTCCGCCGATCAGCTAGACGAAGAGTCCGATGCGCGTGTCCCGCCCATTATTGTGAAGAAGTTGACGTTCAGCGACAGCGATATTCTGGCCGATGAGCACTGCGCCCGCCTCTGTCCGCAATGTCCGTGCCGGCGGGATTCGCAGCAGGGCTGCTGCCCGAGAAGCGATCACGGGCAGTGCGGTCTGGGAGCGGCATCTATGGAGCCTGGAGGCATGACTGGTGCGGTGGGCTCCACAGACACCACCACCACCTTCTACAGTGCCAACTCATCGCTGGAGCAGTTTGCCACGCCCGCCAGACAGGTCAATGGCGTTCCCGATGAAATACTCATACGTCCCGGTGTCCTAGAGTCTCACTTTCCCGTCTATGAGGCAGCGACGAGAGCGGCAGCGGGGGCAGGGGCAGCGGCGGGGACGATGGTTGAGACACCGGCCATTGTGGCGCCCGCTTCGCCCGCATCGCTCAGCCTGAACAATGGGGGCAAGAAACCGGATGTGGTGGGCGGACGCGTGCGCAAGCGTCTGTCCTCCGAGGAGTTCATTTTCACGCGCAGCGAGGATCTTCCCATTTTAGTACAAATCGGTGATAGAGGTGGCTCACACGGCTCCCCCGCGGGACGCAGGCGCAAAGGCTGCGTGTATCCGGCCGGTAATAGCATTCGAATCGCCGGCGCCAGTCCGGGAGCCGATGTCCTGGCCACAACAACAAACGCAACTAGATTATTGAGCGACAAGTCCGCCACTTCCTCACCCACACACACGTCCATTAGCAAATTTACCCGCACCAGAGTAACAGCCGCCAAGGCGGCCTCAAATAATGAGAGTAACGTTTAGTTTAGTAAGTTGTTTCAGAAGACGGAGACGGAGACGGAGTTGGATATGGAGATGAAGATGAAGATGGAAACGAAGACAGCAACAGTAACAGTAGTTAAATGGAGTACCTAAACGAAATGAACAAGTAACCGTAACCAAAAAATGAAACAAGAAACAAAATAATAATTCTAACTATAATAAGATAACAACAATTATTCTATTGTAATTGCTTTATACTTACACCAAAACAGATGATATGAGAAGAAATTAAAAAGTAAATAAACAAAAATAAATAACTTCTTAGTTCATTTGTGAGTCAATTTCGTTCTACTCTCTTCTCTCTTTATAATGCTCTATACTCGAGTGAACTATAAAGATACAAAGAAGAAAGATTTTATAAAGTGTTACAATAAAGATTGAATAGAAAAAAGCGTGAGCGAGTGTGTGAGAGAAAGGGAAGCAGAGCCGGAGTCCCGAAAATGATTGGGAACCGGTTCGGAAAACAGTCGAAGTCAAGATTCTCAGTTCATTTGTGAGTTAATTTCGTTCTACTCATAAAATAAAATCATTCATGAACAATTCCTTTATAATACTATATACTCGTATATACTATTCAGATACAAAGATAAAGATTTGTTCATAACTAAAAATTTTATAAAATGTTGAAATGTAGAGTTAAAAGAAAAAATCCTGAGGGTGTTTGTGTGTGTGAGAGAAAGAAAGCGGAAGTCCCGAAAAGATTTTATAAAGTGTTGCATAATGTTGTTTGTGAGAGAGTGGGAATTCCGAAAATGTCCGGAAACATTAGGAAAAGTTGCGGCAAGCTGTCGAAGTCAAGATGCCAAAGAGGTGTCTTCGTTTATTTGTGATAACGAAGTAAAGATGAGAAACGTTTTAGCAAAGAGTGAAAAGAAAAAAGTATGAGAAAGTGTGTGTGAAAGAAAGAGAACGGGAGTCCCGAAAATTTCCGGACAGATTGGGGAAAGGTTCCGGCAAAATTCTAAAGACCCCTTCTTAGTTCATTTGTGAGTTGATGTCGTTCTACTCGCACTATTTCGAATGATTTATGATTAACTTAAGTGAAGCATTAATTTTCTTTCATAATAACTGGCTATATGCCTTAAAGCTACAAATACAGATATATGTATTGTCTGGCCCTGCTGGGCTCTGGCCAACCTTCGGGCCAACCTCAATAAAAGCTGCTGGCGGCACATGAAACAAGGTCTTAGTCGTCTCTGCTCGTCTCGAATCGCCTGCATCTTATTTCGCAAAGCGTTTCCGGCAAGTGGTGCGCGGATACTTCTGCCATTTGTGAAGAACCTCAACAACACCATCGCCCCACCTGTCCTCCCCAGAAGCCCACAGCACTATCGGTGTATTCCCATTGGCGATGGGCAAATGGCAAGCAAGTTATTCGTGCTACGCTTGGATACATATTCGTATTCGCAATCGCATTTCACATACGTCTTTGCCTCTTTCTCAGCTTTTACCGCCATCCATCCCCTGCTCCGGTCCCGGCCCCTGCCCCCTCCCAATCCCTGTCGCTTTCGTCTCCATCTCCAAGAGCACCTGTGCCCATTGCGAACGGTGCGTTCCGTTTTCCGCCTTGTTTACCGCCTGTCGATTGCATGTTGTAACAGGTTGGATTGTAGCTGAGAATGCAAGTTGAGCAGGGCACAGTGGGTCAAAAGTGGTAGCACTGAAGGCAACAAAAATTCTTAAAACATTTTTGAAGTCAACATTAAGACGCTCTTCACGAATTTTCGCAACTCACGATTTTTCTTGAAGCCTTTCACGATCCCGCAAGTTACGTGCCTGAATAATATACAAGTATTTAATGAATAACCTATGATTTTATATGGCTCCTATTATTCCATTACTTGCTATTGTTAAATCCAAATTGTTTGGCGATTTTTTATACCTAACCGATTCAGTTAAGAAACTGATTAGTCATTTATACAACTATATAAATCGCTCGATATTAAAATTGAATCTTCTTTTTTCGACTATTGGAAATACATTTTCGACGTCTGCATTCCGAATTTCGTCGCACCATCTAAGCTTCCTTGGTTGACTCGAAGTCATTCTTATTAAACATACCCGTAATATGACTCGGTATTTTAAAAGTTTTCAATAATCTGTTTCTTGTTTTGGTTTTTTTAAATACAATAACCTTCTTCTTCTCATTCTTAGTATAATAAGTACTGTCCACCTTGAGCGCTACAAATTTCGATTCGTAAAAGACTCTAGGCAGTTTGACAATTTCGTGAAACCCAAACGTAAATCATCTCTGTGCCTTTTTCGGCTTCCTTTGAAGACGTGTGTAAATGCTATTGTGGTTTTTCTTTTCGAATCTATGCTCTCTTCTACATTCTTCGAATGCCAATTTGTAGCCGCATAGAATTTCCTCTTCTAATCCTGTTTATTCTTCGACGTATTCTGTAGTTAACAATAAAGAGTTCAGATTAAAAGACCTTATCTAAGTAATTAATTAGATTTAAAGTGTGTTTTTACATTTTATGAATGAACGCAAAGTTTTTAATACAAGTACAAGTATATTACCAACCCAAGAGTAGTTTACTTATTCTGAATAATAGATTCAGTCTTCATACTTGTACTCTCCATTTACTTTTGCCTATTATTGCTAAATCTTTTCAAATTGACCCTCGAGACTAAAATTTTTCCAACTAAACGATTTTTCTTGCGCATCAAATGGAATTTCTCTTTCTTTTCTCCTTAAGTAGATGCAGTGCGCAATTATCCTATTCGGGTTAGTTCGCACGCTCACGCGTATTCACGCAGACACACGCACAACTCTCTCTAATGTATATAAACGTTGTACCACTGTGCGATCACTGGGCAGTGTTGCTTGCGTCAGCGTCGACGCCGTAGTCGGCCGCAGCTGATGAAAGTATCTCGAACGTAAAATTCTTTACGTTTCGTTTTGGAATTTGTTGTTGTTGTTGTTACTGTTGTTGTTGGTGGTGCTGGTGCTGCCGCTGCCGCTTTCCTTGACTCCGTCTGTTACATCTGCTGTTGCTTTCCTGGCTACGCCGTTTGGCTCTCTGGCTGCGGAATGCATTTACGTTTGTTGTTGTTGCTGTTGCTGTGTTTTTTCTTCTTCTCAACGCTGGCTGTTGTTGTAATTGGCAATGAAAAATTCCAAGTGTTTCTCAAAGTGCACACACACACGCACACACACACATGGTAGCAATATTACAATACTTTGGAATAAAAAATAAAAAAATTAAGTGAAAAAAACTAAAACAATAAAAATTAAAACATAAAGTCAAAACAATAGCCACACAAACACGTTAACTCCACCTGCTAGGGGGCAGGGAGGTGTGGTGTGGGGTGGGGAGGTGGGTTGGTAGGTTGGTAGATGCTTTTACCGTTTAGCAAATGTAAAATTCCACTATACATACGATTTCAACTGTTGCAGACAAACGAAACAAACACATACGAGGGCTGATCAGTAAGTGCACCTTTTTCGGGATGTTAACTTGTAACTTCACCATCGCATTCAGATATCAACTAAATCACACACTGATTCATGGATTACTTCTTTTTTTTGGGATTCCCTTTTTATACTCTGTACATAAAATGTACAAGAGTATATTAGGTTTGCGGGAGCTGAAAATGTAACAGGCAGAAGGAGGCGTGGCAGACCCCACAAAGTGTATATATTCTTGATCAGCATGACGAGACGAGTCGATCTAGCCCTGTCTGTCCGTATGAACACCTGGATCTCAGAGACTAGAAGAGCTAGAGACACCAAACTTTGCACAAAGATGCCTTATGTGTGTACGCCGTGCAAGTTTGTTATATTTTTTTGATTTGATTTGAAAAATGTAACAGGAGGCGTGGGAAATCAGCTTGACAAAACGAGTCTATCTATGTCTGTCTGTCCGTCCGTATGAACATCTGGATCTGAGATACTATAAAAGATAGAGACACCAAATTTTGCACAAAGATGCCTTATGTGTGTACGCTGTGCAAGTTTGTCTTATTTTTTTTGATTTTCCCCCCACTTCTCCTCTATGGGGGTTTTCCCGATTTTCCACTCGTATAATCACCTATATCTCGGAGACTATAAGACCTAGGGACACCAAATTGTAGTCCAAGATGCGTTATATGAATACGCAGAAAATGTATATTTTTGAATTTACCTCCGTCCCCCTCTCTCCAGCAATTAGTGATTTTCCATAGCTTTCATTCTAAGAATTTTGGACTATGATTTGGCAAATACCTGCAGTTACCTGCTCCCGCCTTTAGCTTCTCTACTTGTTTGGGATTCCAAAGGGATTATCCTCATGAAATTTATTCAGCAAAAAAAAAACAATCACAGGGCAGTACTCTAGTAAGTTGATGCACAGATTCGATAAGAAATTAAAGGAGCGCCCTGGCACCCCACGAATTGTTTCTGTTCCCTGACTTAAAAACATCGCTCGCAGGAAAAACAAAATGCAGCTGAAATGAAAAGGCTATCGGTGAGAGGGAAGCGTATTCTTGGGGATTATGAAAATGTATGTAAAAAAATGTATTTAAAAAATGTATTTAAAAAATGTAATTTAAAAAAAAAGTTTTATTTTGTATATTTTCCCCAAAGTTGGGAAAAATTTATTTTAATAAGTATGTGTGAGAAATGACACAATGACGTCCCTTTCTTAACACGGGCACCTACTGATCAGCCCTCGCACGCAGATATGTTGTTGCAAATGCCACAAAAACTGCATATTACATACTAACATATATATGTACTATATGTATGTATGTATTGCTTCTAGGGAAATGCTTAAGCTCAGTTTAGACAGAATAATTTTCGAAAAAAACTGGTCAAACTCTTTTTGTGGTTTTCACACTAGAGGTTGTTCTTGTTCATTATTCCGAGAAAAAATATGCGCGAATATACACGACCACACAAGAATTAAAATTTGTGATAACTCTTGAAATTTGCGCAAATTTTCCATGCATTTGTAGATATCTACAAGTACTTGTATTGTAAAAAGAGAGTAGGCAAGAGTTATGAAAAATCACTAATCACTAAGAGCATAAAATTGATGTGCTAAGGGTTACATGAATATCAAGTTTGGTTTTTGTAGCTCGTATCCTAAGATCCCTGCGTTCAAACAGATGGATAGTTGTCCCTGACTCCTCCTATCATACTGATCAAGAATGTGCAGATGTAGTCAAATAAATCTTTTTAATGAAGATTTTTGTAGAACAAAAAAAAATGG